CTAGTTAGCGGTGTCCCTGCTCCCTGCAGGGGGGTTGGACTGGATGACCTCTAGGGGTCCCTTCCAACCCAAAACATTCCATGATTCTACACTGAAGGCGGTTTTGTAGGGCGGTGTCCTGGGCACCTGCGGCGCTTGGAGAGGTGTTAGGACATTCTGGGTGACGTGACGAGTTCAGACTTGGGCTGTGCTGTCTGAACTCTGTGCTCAGGGCTAATTCTGGGCTGTCAGTACAGAAGTGAGGAGAAAGAAGCAAGGGCAAAAGCAGGTACAGAAGCAGGAGTGCTGGGAAATCAAGAGTGGAAAGCCAGGCCCAAGGGGCTGCGCGCTGCTCTGGAAGCAGTAACTGGGGCTGGTCAATGCAAGAAGCACTTCTCACTGGTGGTTGCTGGTGGTTGCTTTCCTGGCATCCTCCACTTTGTCGCTTCAAGAGCCTGGAAAAAGAGGAGGCTGAGGGGAGCCCTCATCGCTGCCTACAACTGCCTGAGAGGAGGGGGGAGCCGGGGGGGTCGGGCTCTGCTCCCAGGGAAGGGGCGATGGGACGAGGGGCAGCGGCCTCAAGTTGTGCCAGGGCAGGGTGAGGTTGGCCATGGGGAACAATTCCTTCCCCTTGGGGCTGTCAGGGGCTGGAAGGGGCTGCCCAGGGAAGGGGTCGAGTCCCCAGCCCTGGGGGGATTTAACAGCCGGGCAGAGGCGGTGCTGAGGGCCGGGGTTTGGGGGTGGGATGGCAGGGGTAGGGGAACGGCTGGGCTGGGGGAGCTTAAAGGGCTTTGCCAACCCAAACCATTCCGTGATTCTAAGATATGTTGTTGTTAGAACAGTTCAGAGAAAAGATGGCAAGAATACTCCTGAAGAGGTATTTAATTCACATTATTTTTGTAAAATATCTCAACAGTCTGAAATTCACTGAAAGCCTCATCTGAGCAATTCTTCCCACATACAGTGATTCAAAAAGAAAGCGCTGAGCAAACATCTTGCGAGGAATCTGAAACAAACTGACTGCAGGGGTTTTTTTAATGCCAACAGTACGCTTGTTTCTGTCCCCTTGGTTGTTAGAAGCCTGTGAGGGATGTTGGGGTGAGCCGGGAAGCGAAGCCGTGGCAGTACCGGCTGCAGGTGAGCACACAGCGCTGTGGCACTCCGTCAGCTCGGAGCTACGCCAGCCTTTTGTCGCCGTTAACTTTTTTTTCTCATCCGTGTGCATGAATTGCAGGACAGCAGCTCAGCCCCAGGCAGACAAGTGGCCAAGTCAGGGCAAGGCGTGAGAGCAGAGAGGAGGAGAAAGACCAAAGGGCGGGCTGGCAGCCCTGCGGCTGCGACACAACCTTGCTCTCACAGTGCCCTGCATCCCTAACAATCCCCAAAGGAAGAGGTTGTGTCTCCCCTGAACGCCAGAGTCTGGTTCAGGGGGTGGTAATAACTGTTTGGAAATGACCTCCTGGCGACCGCTGTCTGAGGAGAAGGAGCACGGGGCAGGACGGTGCGGGGAGCGGCAGGATGCTGGGGATCCCGGGTGGGGAGAGAAGAGACCCCAAAAACGGTTTTCTCTGCACGTTCTTGCCTTTTGTTTTATCTTTTCTTTATCTTTCCAGTGTACTAAGGGAGCAAAGTGGGTAAGTGGGGGAACAGAGAAAAAGCCTTCCAGTGTTACAGATAACACAGGGTGTTTTTGCAGTGCCCAGGCCTGAATGAAGATAGGAAACGGCCATTTAAGTTGAAACAAAATAAACATTTTAAGGCTTTTTCACAAGCTCTCAAAACGTTGAAGAGGAAAGAGTAAAAAATGGGAACATTTGTTACAGAGAATAATAGGAACAGGGTAAGCTGTTCGTTGTTCCTCAGCGCGTGACTTTGCCATGTATATTTTAAGCAAATTCAAAACACTGCTCTTTTGGTTTGGTTTGGTTTTTTTTTTTTTTTTCTTCCCTCAGCAGGTTCTGTGCATGCAGAGGGCCCTGCAAAGTGAAGGAGGCTCAGAGTACTCTGCCCGCTGGCTTTGCACTCTATCTGGTTTTGGGGAGCCTTGGAGACATGTACGTTGGGAAAGGGAACTGCGAAGGAGCTAGCGATGGAGATGGTCAGTTTGAGAACGGATGCGCTCTTTAAATAAGACAAAATGATATTTGTCTACTGGATGTCCGAGCAATCTTCAGTCTGAATGTTACACAGCTGTTACAAGGATAAAAAGAATATTTCCAGGTGCAATTTCTATAGCTGAGCCCCCATCAGAAGCTTGGAAAGAGGCTCAGGATGTTATTTGGATTTACTTCACTGTAGCTTTTCTGCACAAACTGAAATCTGACCCCATAGGGAGTGGATGTATGCATATGGGCAGCCCCCCACTGACCAGGCAGATGCTGTACCCCAGAAGTTACTTGAAAAACCGTGCACAGCACTCTCCCGAAAACTTGGGTGTCGCAAGCTGAGTTGCCCTTTCGTCTGTTGGAGAAGTGAGGTCCTCGTGTTGCAGCTCTGGTGGTCCCTGAAGCAGTGACTCTTGGGGTAGGAGCGCTGGCAGTGCCGCCTGAAGACTTTGAGTCTGCGGTGCAAATCTGCATGTCACCTCTTCCTCAGAAGTGGAATGGCAAGGGATGAGGCCATCAGCTCTCACAGCTAGGAAGCAGCACTGCCGAAGTAAACCAAGCAGCTCTTGAGGTCTACCTATTTGTGGGAAAACTCTTCCAGAGTTCAAGAGAGCCTGAGCCTGAAAAATCCGCACAACGGTTTAACAAAAAGAGCTCGCTGAGGATATTTACGCTCGTGTGCAGGTGATATCTGTGGGCAGAGCCTCATTTTTATCAGACTTTAAATGCACACGATGAAGTTTGGCAAACCATAATATATGTGTGGGATGGCAGCCAACCTGGAAGGCCAGGGTGGGACCAGCTCCTCCGCTGGGACCATGAACCTGGCTGCTGAGCTCTGTAAGACAGCCTGTTCTTGAACCTGTCCTGAAGTGCCAGGTCCTTGTTTTTGCACAGCTCTCTTCTCTGCGCCCACAAGAGAAATGACCCCCTTTGTCATCCTTAATTGTCATGTGGCGGGGACCTGTAAGACCTGGCAGAGCCCGTTGGCTGCTGTCAGTTTTTCCTCCGTTGATCAGTTACTGAGGTATGGGCATGCTGTAGTCTTCAGAGATGAGTGACTATCGCTGCTGAAAGCTCAGAGCTGATGGAAGGCCAGAAGAAAGACTGCAATCATCAAAGAAATTTTACTAGGTGGATTTTCAGAGACTTTTTGTATGAAGGGTTTGTTTATCCATGAAAATGTACTAAGGGTCTGAGAATGGAATTAGTGAAGGCTGAGGTTACCGTGCCTCGTTCGTGGCTGAAGGCACTTACCCGTTAGCCCCCACATGGAAATAATCCATTTGCTCTTTAGAAAGGTGGCATTCGTATTTCTCCAAGATGCAAGAGTGAGTCTTTGTTTATTCTACGATAACTTGGCACCACAGAATCCCTGCAAGCATGTGCAGGAGGAGGATGGGAAGTGAGAAGGTTTCGAGGCAGCCTGGTGTGGTCTCCAAGACAAAATGACCTGAGGAGCTCCTCAATGTAGATGAAGGTACCTGGTATTTGCTTTTTTTGAAGACACTATTGTTTTACTGGCTCCAATGCCCTAGAGTAAGAGAAAATGGATTTTTTTTTTTTTTTTGGATGCTGATACAGCTTATCAATCACTTAAAGAATTTTTCCTTGTGCAGGTGTCTTAGGAACTCTTCACCAAATAATGGATGTTCTTAAGTGCGCTATTGTCTTGGGCACAGTAGAGCTGATGATCATACCCCTTCTCTGAGGGGTATGGCGAGATGTATGCTGAAGTGAGCTGTTCCTCAGGCTGCAGATTTTCAGCATTCTTTCATGTTCCCATGGGCTGCACACCAAGAGTGATCACCCTTTGTACATTTACAGTAAACTTCAAAGGGGTGTCGATGAATTCTTGGGAAATTTGGTAGACCTGCCTTTCTTGCAGAGTGGTTGCCCTGAAGAGCCTACCTTTTGGACCAAGTTAAAGAGTAGAATCATAGAATCACAGAATCATTTGGGTTGGCAAAGCCCTTGAAGCTCCCCCAGCCCAACCGTTCCCCTACCCCTGCCATCCCACCCCCAAACCCTGGCCCTCAGCACCGCCTCTGCCCGGCTGCTAAATCCCCCCAGGGCTGGGGACTCGACCCCTTCCCTGGGCAGCCCCTTCCAGCCCCTGA